CACCCATTAATCTGTCACAATTCTGGAAACTACATAAAAGGCCAAAGCTGTCAACCTGATTTGCGAGCCCCTTTTGTGACTCCCAAGTTGAGTTATACTCCGAGAACCCCAGTAATGACACCGATGTTGATACATCGGACAAATATTTCGTGACTTCGCATGTGACTTGTGGCAATAGCCACGGTAACCAGGCTAGCAGGGCAAGGCCTGGTAAAGCTGTTTTTACATTCTTGGCAATTCTACTTTTATTAACCTTACAGATAGTTCACTCGGTGCAAGAAAAGTAATATTTGTTTTACCCCTTGTTGATAAATGCTTTCTGCTCACATGTCTGGCACACAAACATTTACTTACGGTATTTAATGAGTTCTCCAGTGTGCACTCAATTGTGAATCTGCTCTAATTTTTTAATTAAACAAAAATGACAGGTCGTTGTTTGTGCATTTTTCTTCTCTCTTATGAAAAATGCGCTGTCTGTAGGTCGCAGTGACAAGAAATCCATAAGCGAACAGTATTTAAAAATCAGTGTCTAACAAGACAGATTTGCTTCAGTATAAAATAAATAAAAAATTAAGCACTAAAGGTAATTATAATGTAACTTGTACTCCAGTGTATGTTAGCCTAAACAACAATGAATCTGGCTGTCAAACGTTTGAGAAACGGATATGTAGCTCGCGCTTTCAGCAAAAACTGAGTATTCCTTCCACTTGTTTGCAAGTAAGCACCTTTCGTTTAGGGTATCCACGGAATTCATCCTACAGAGAAAGGCAGGCATGCGGTGACGTTTCGCTCAACAACACGGTTGAATGTTGACTTTAGCATCTGTCGGATTCTTTCGATTAAAATGTAATGATAGCAACCAACCGGAAATTTTAACGTTTCACTAATCATGTAGATCATATGACAGCAATGGTTGAAAACAGAAATAAGCCGAGGAGAAAGGCAATAACTTTTGCGTCTAATAATGGTGAACAATAATTCGACATGGACTCATTCAACAACAGTTCGCAGAACCTCACCTATCCACTATACCATGTAAGAACTGACGAACTTTAGTACAAAAGCAATCTTTCATGATCATTTTGCTGATTGTCATCAAGTATATCAAAGCATGATAAAAACATATTTGATGTAAGGTCCTCTGGATATCAACAGTTCCCCAGATTAGGGCGAGCATTATTGGGACTCATTCGATACTTGATGCTCCAACTAACAGCATGTTTGGCTAGGCCCGACATTATCAAATTCGTTAGGTCTGTGATATAAGTACAGCAGCAGTTCATTGGAGCCATTTGTTGGATCGACGCCAACTGACTGTGAAAGTATCACCCAATAAGGCAAGCAATAGGCTATTTCACTGACAGCAACGATGCTCATCAACTGACCTTCAAGCTAGTAACGGATGAACTGTATAGCTTTTTAAACTACAGTTTATTCCGTCTTGCAGTCGGATTTCGTTGAATGATTCAAGAAAATCAGATAGGTTCTAGTGTTACGAGGTTGTAGGTTTGTCTCAAATTGTGCGCAAAGCTCGCGTTCAATGCAAAGAGCTTTGCATACGTCAGTCAGTTGCGGCTAATCTGTTCGGATGATGAATTAAACCTATTCACAAATTTTTATGATTGTGTTCAGTATCAGGGTTGAGAGAACGTCTGATCTAACCAGTTCACTTGAAACAGTATTGAAAACCTCAAGACAGCCATCCAAAATGCTCACGCAACAGATGAACCACCTATATCCAAAAAATAATACGCTGGCTCTTTTCCCACAGGCTGGTTGGCGATTTTTAAAACGGATTAAACAGCTACCGAGTGCGTCCAGACTTTTGTCATCGATTGACTGAAACTACGGGATCCTGTTTGTTACAAAAAGACAATAGAGGGCGTCCCAGTATTGGCCGTAAAAGATAACGTAAGGTACATCGCAACATGTGTCACCACGAAACTCGTAATTTTTTTGTGCGACATCCACAAAGGTAAGTCCAAAAATCCAGGCCTTTGGTTCCTATAAATATACACGACGCGACAGAATTAAACGTTCACTCACTGTGAGAATGTTCCGTTTTCTGGTCACTGGGTAAAAGCTATCGTTCGAAATCACTTCGGTAACCCAATGTTGCATTTTTTACAAAATGATTTATACGCGGAAGGCATCTAAACTCATTGTCCTGTTGATGATATTTTGAAAGAGCCTACCTTGGAATTTCGTTTTGAAACGTTCATAAATCACTTGAAACATTTAGAACAAAGATCTGGATATCAGCTTGGCGCTGTGGGATGCTAACGTTCCTTCCGAGTTTGCGTACGTGATTTTTTTTGGCTGCGTTATTACATGGGTGTAAAGACAGGACAAATAGGAGAATTCTCAAGCTTTTAAGTGGACGTGAGTACCGCAGGGTGGCTAGCGAAATACCCTGAGACCATCAAGTTATCATAGGCGCTGTGATGGTGGTTCATGAGGTCGGTCTATAGTCAAAAGCAACAAGAACCCATCCGATTTCCTAACGTATGCAGCAGAATTTTAAAATATTCACGCATTCGGCAAAACACTACTTTTCATTCTGAGATGCCACCTCAAGACAAGCATAAGTCATCTTCCAGTGTTTTCGAGGCTGTAAGCACAAACGTATGGTCTTCTACTTCGGAAATTGTACGGCCTTCGCTCGTCTATGTAGTCCTGGAACAGACACTGACAACTTGCATGCTTCCGAGATCACACTCACTTGTAGTAGTAAAGGGTATTCACCATTTGCCATTCTACCTTTACAGCTTCCATGGCCGGAGCGATTAAACGACGTTAACAGAGATGATCACGTCAAAATAACACCCGATAATGTCATTTTAGACCACCAAGCGTTACGCGCCAAACCGATGATGGTGAACGGAGACTGAGTGGCTGGATGTGAGATTTTCGGCAAGCCATGGTTGTCCTGCGATTTCAGCCTTATAAATGTGTTTTCTTTTTAAGAATCACCAACTTTACTTACTCCACGAAAATGCAGAGCAATTTGTTACGCTTACAGAATGTGTTCACTTTTCCACTTAACTCTACAACTCTACTCTTTTTGATTTCAGGCAGTTTTCTAGGCCCCCCTTGCGGTAATCGAGATGACGGTGGTTAGAGTCAATTCCTAGATATGTTCCTGTTCATGATATCTATACCCAGGCTCCATGATCAACCAGCAATCGGCTTGGTCATTCACTGTAGCACTTCTTCGGTTTTTCTTGATTGCATCTCTCAAGCATCCCATGGAACAACACGTACAAGCAGTAGTATAGAATATGCTTACAAATGACTCGAGGTTATGCATTGAGAAAACAACAAGATCAGCTTCAAGCATACAATTCAAATTTCTCGTCTTGTTAAAATGCGGCTGGATGAAAGCACAAATAGGTTGTTCATAATTTTGTGCAAGGTGGAGATCACCTGAGTAACAAGCGGCCTTCAGCTTACGAAAGTAGGTTTCGCCCATATGCTGCCATCTTGAACTCCACGCACTGTTAACAAGCATTGGTAGAGTACACGTACGTGCACCAGTAAAATTTAGGCAAGAACTTTGCAGGTCCAAAACGAGAGAACCTTCGTTAGAGTTAATAATCTATGAATGACATTTTTGGAAGTCCCGGACAATATCTTTCGCGGACTGGGAATCTTTGTGCATATATCTGATATAGTGAGTGCGGCGTTGTCAATCATTACTTTATTACCGATTGTATATGCTATTTAAGCTTGATAGCAACTATGGTGACTTCTTACCCACGGACATCTACCCGAAAGATAAGCACAAATGAAAAGCCTGGTTCGACCAAAATTTAGAACGAGAAGCTTCCATCGCCAGGAGTAAAGAATTTAATATTCAGCTCATTGTCTTCAGGCTAGTCGCCATTTTTATTCAAATATGAGCAAGAACTTTTAACTGCCGTTCCAAAAATGGGTTTTGAGATATTTGTGGGCAAGAAAACAGGTCTTAACCCTGTTCTGGCTAGGTAATGCTGTTTTTGGAAAGGGAGTATATGACCGTATACCACTTCCTTATTTGTATAGGGTTCCAGTAAGGGGTCCCATCTGAGGATAAATTCCAACACCATAAAACAAATCAGCCCTTAAACACACCCGCTTTATCGCAGCCCGGTGACAACAGCATACCAACATAGACACTAACTCATAGCGATGCCGTTATTGTTGCCTTTGAAATGGCAGAGCTTTCTAGGTCCGACGGACTGTGTATATTTAGGATGACCTCCAGAAGGCTAATCTGGTACAAGGGTTCTTCAAATATTGTGCCATAGTTTCAGCAACATCGGCTTTCCATTTAGGAAGTAAACGAGTGACAAAATATTACTTGGAGTTCAAACAATGAGATGTTTTTTCAGAATTTAATTTTGATTTCTTTTATCTGTGGCTTTTTATTGCTTTGACTTTCAAAACATGGTGTCCATCCATGTAATTCAAGCTCTGAAATCTGTAAGCTGCCATATAAACACAGACTATTTACATTCAAATAAGTCTGTGGAACAGTTAGCAAAATGCTTGCGAATGTCATAAAAATTTTGATTATCTATTTATTTTACTTTGATCCTGATCTGTTCAACACAACGACTTGGGAAGACAGTGGATTACTTTCCATCATGCCTCCACATTCTTCTCTCAGTTGGGAATTTTGAAAAACCTGAATACCCGAGGATGTCAAAATGCTACTTTTTTTAACATGTAAGCGGGCATGTAGACTAGAATTCACTTCAGAATTGTGCGCTCCGGTCCGACAGGAATCGATTGATTTATTCCCCCTATCTTCCCACCCAGCATAAAGTCACATGCACAAACAGCACGCGGCCACACGGTCATTTTGATTGGCCGTGGCCTGCTACAGTAGACGAATAGGCGGCAGGACACTGAATCCCATTTTGTGCCCCAAGGCCAACATGCACACATTCAATCGCACCCATAATTCTGTGCGAATGCAACCTATTCTTTACTAGTTAGTGCGTATCTACTTCATCGCACGATCAATACACAAGCGACCAATCGCTATTCTGTGGAAACAGTTCTAGAAGAGCTATTTTGGTCACAAGTTGAACAATACATTGAAATATGTGACATTCGGAAGCAGTTTTATCTGTGGTTCATTTACTTTCGTTCGAAAATTTTCTGTGTCACAGGCGTGGACCGGGGATCAAACTCGACTTGATGTCAAACGGCCGTGCCAGTTATTTCTAGCAGGGACTGAATACCCTCAGGAATAATTAGTTCATCCGCTTGTGTGAAAGACCTGGAACTAGTATACCAGCGCTATTATAATGACATACGTAGAGAGAAGATTGCTGTTGCAAAATGGACCGCCGTGGGGGTTTCGGTTGTACGAAGACTTTATGGAGGGCCTTATAGTATCCAAGGTGAGTTTTTTCAGGACTCGTCGCTTTGTGATGCAAATGGTGACTGACGAACTAAAATTTACGACTCATAGTGAGAGAATCCGTAGTCCGAACTTGGATAACACCATGTGCGTCCCTTCTCACAGTTAGTTAGCTCAGCTTGCAAGAAGGAAAAATATTTAGATTGAGTTCAGAAGGACTGCTGGTCCAAAATGCTAGTTGATGGCTGCAGAGAAAATGAAAGGTTTGATAGGCCTCTTAAATCGGAATATGCACGCAAAACTCAGTTTAGAACGTTTATCCAGTGAGCTTTAGTCTCATTGTCAGAATTACATACAAGAATGATGTAAACAATCGCGTCTCAGCATAAATGACCACACAGAGTTGTAACCATTCGAGTAAGCATTCTGTACTCCATGTGCCTGTAGACCCAGCAAGATATTTCGACCAGATCTAACCTGATACCTCATTTTGAATGAAATCAAGAAGGTACAAGAAAGAACAATTCCTCTGGACCATGCACTTCCAAGAGTTGACTTATCATGTAACGATTTGAGTGTGAGTCAAATAAGTTTAAATAGGCTGATTTGACGCTGATTTTATTGGAGATTTCTAAGTTTGCGGAGGAAAGCACCACTCGAATCATGTATAGTAGACCCCCAAATTTCAAAAGAATTTGAGTTGTTGCACATGACCCTCTGCAGAACATATTGTGCTCCAGCCGAAGTTGCGATGACTTTTCCTGCTTAGTCCAAAAGTCCGAAAGATTTTGTCGAAACTAGTTGTCATGGTTAGGAATGACACTATAGAAAATCAAACTTCAGTTACCACGGAACTGATCCGGAAGCTCGCTCAATGTTTACTGCTTAGTGCTGCATACATTTGACAAAACTAAACCTGTGCAACACCCAACAGAAAACGCCTACACGAAAATTCCTAGTAAATAAACTCTATACTTTTTGCATACGGCAGACAGTCGTAGAAAACATCCATACGATCACTTTCATGCAGTCATACCCTAGAAATCTTATATCAACGGTCCTGTTGATGGAAATGGAAATTACTGTAGGCGAAGCAACGGGACGCTTGCTTTCTGAAACTATTTTCAGGTCACTGACTCTCAAACAACAATGGGAAGCCATGGTTTGATAGGTCGATTATTAACGTCACATTTCAAGTACGGGGGAGATAATCATCAACACAGCCCATACAATGGCAGCATTAAAACTATCCCGAAATTCTGTGACTCATTTACAACTTTTCTTTAGCTCGTTCATCGGCCACGATAAAGTAACTGAGAATTTTGAAGCGGCAGTCCTTTCTGTCAACCAGTGTTGTTCAGTCGGCATTTCAGATGGTTCTGAGAGTATGAGCTATTATTCTGTCTCGATAATATATATATATATTGCTAAGGTATTACCAAGGTCCTTATCCTGATAACTCCATATTTTGAAATGGAATTCGTGGCATGTTGAAAAAATACAGTAAGGAACACTGCTCCGTTTTCGTTTAGCCTTCAGTGAAACCCCGAACTCATTGCTTATAAACTTAATGAGTGTTTTTTGGTACGAATTCCCACTTGCTAGGGTGCTCAGTCATTTCTAGTCGAGAGCTCGAATAGGTCTCTACTTTCAAAGACAATAACTAACATCGGTCAGTTTCAGTTTACTGAAGTTTGCAAGTTTATTTGGTGTATGACACTAGTCAGACTCAGTATGATAGACTAAGTTGTGCAAATACGTAAAAACTTTTCTAGTTTACGCACTGACTATACCCAAGCCAATACGACCACGAAAATACGTAAAATGCTTCAAACTGTTGTATCCCTTTTCCTGAATCCTACAAAGCATTTTTAAATTCTTAAATAATGTTTTGTTCCTTGCGAATATAAGTTTCATGTTAAAGTGTGAAATGGCTTTGACTAGTGTATTTGACATAAATAGAGCTTCCGCTCAAAGGAGAACGGGAACGTTAGCAATATTCCAGCCCTACCGAGTTAGAAACTTTCACTTTCTGTTCCATTGTATCGTCTGTGATAAATCTGAATAGCACTGCCAGATGATCCTGCACATAGAAAGGTTTTTAGGGGTACCCAGCACAGTGTAATCCAAGTTTACGCAAATATAAAGGTTAATTATATTCACAAGACAGAAACATATTCATAAAATTAAAGAGCATCACTGCAATGAGCCGCCGAAAATTGTGCCCACTTACGAAAAGTAAGGGGACGAAACATGCTACACTTATCCAATTGGGAGCCCGCTGCTATCTTCAAGTTCATATTTCAACTGTTGTTTTGGATGTACTCATTCTAGTGGTCTTTTTAATGCAATTCAGGGAGGGACATCTACGATCTACGATGCCAGTGCGTCCATACTCCAAACGACTGGGATAAATAGCTGTCTAAAATGTGAGGGTGACAGGTGGTTTACGCTTGCCTAGCACAGAATCACCACAGGACCCAGTGAAAAGTATGTAAATGTGCTTTGACCTGCAGACAGAATGAACTATTCCGAGTGATATAACTGGAAAGTCCAAACGTTCAAATAATAATTTTTGCTCACACAAGCCATTCTCTTCATTCGTCATACTGCATTCAGTTTCCTTTTGTCACATTAGAAACAACGAACGTCTTTTGAATGGTAAAGCTGGAATTCTCTGGTTTTTCCTAAGCAAGGCCAGTTATTTTTTTCATTCATTCGTGAAGTGTATAGAAGTAAAGATTATCCCGTCATTAGGGCCTTAACCAGTTCGATTGAATCCAACAAAGTCAAGACGGTTCATTCTTGGAAAGCTTGCTCCAAATGGAGTAATGTATTTGACTTTAGAAATCACAGCAATTGAAATGGTCCAGGATCCAGGGTTGGATGTAATGTGATCACGTACACTGGGAAGTAGTTGACCGTTGAGGAGGATGTCCATTTCCTCGCCAATTTTACAGATCTTTTGGATTAGTAGTCAGAAGAATCTTGAATTTCCGTCCAAAAATGCCCAAGCACGCAGGATTTTGCTCCTGAAGACGGTGGTTTTACCACCAGATAGCGTGGAATAGTCTCCATGGCGGGAACTGACCAAAGGAAACCATTTTTCGGAAGCTTGAAAGCTCACATTGTGTTGGACATCGTTATAAGGAAGACAAACATGCGTAAAGAAAGTACACTGAACCTAATTATAAAGCCGCTACAAGAAAAAGTACAGACTTCTTATTACGAATGAAATCGCACGTGCCCTGCCAAAAAGCCCCATTTCTTCTCTTTGTTATCAGTTTGTAAATTATGTTAGTGGTGCTCCAGCAAGCATAACTTTGTCAGGTGCCCACCCTGTCAAGTTCCAGGAAGTGAGCATCGTGGGTCAAAATGCATTATCATCAGGTTCAGTTCAATGGCGTATTTCCAGGACAGGAAATCGGCATGTGTCATCCACAACTGTCACATCTGATAGACGTTTCAAACTGATGTAGAGCAACTTTTAAACCTGATCTATGCTTGCGATGTGCTAAAAAAGAAGCGGTATCAAACCGTTTCTGGACAGGAGAACATATTGGAGTACCCATCGTCACTCGACAGACGAGCCTATTGGTGCATAACAGAACAATGCAAGTCTGGGAGAAATATCATTTGTCCATGGTTAGTCACTCTTAACCTTTCCTTTGGGAGCAAAATGGCAGATGGTGGAGGCACATACTTGTGTCAATGGGCGCATAAAATGTTTGTGAAAACCGCTGAACTTTCCCTATAATAGAACTGGCGATTCATTATGCAACTACTGATCAATAAACACGGACAATGCAGGCAAGTTCTTATTCATCAACCACATACTTTCGACAACACTACCTTATGGATACCCTTTAATTTTCTGGGGTAGCTTATGTGAGGTTTATTTTACCAGATGACCTGGCACAATTCCAGTAAATCTATTGAAACAAATGTTTACCACATGAACTCATTTCACACTCTTAGTAACCTAGCAACCTTGGATGTGCATGCTTTAGTGATCTATCCCTTTATTCAATACAGAACGACACATTGTAAAACTAACGGTGGAAAATATTAGCAAACAAAATGCAAATGCATCCTATAGCCACAAAATCATACACCGCAACAGTGAACTAATACTATTAAGGACAGCCTTAATATAGGGTCCCGGTTAGTGCTGAAATGCTGTTGTGTTCACAAAATCTGTTTGACTGATTAGAGTGCATTTGTTTCAGCTTAATGTTAGACGAACGACTTTATGTAGGCCGGTGAACTTACGAATGTGACATTTGAATTAACCTCATGACCGTGAGTCTAGTGGTAACTGAGTTCTCTAAAGAAGCAAACCACTGTTTGCTCCACCACACAGCTATCACAACACGGCTAATGCGTCATTTAGCTCGGCCACATTCGGAAAAGTAAATCAGTCGTAGGTCACTACCCGTTTCTCTTGAATTCTAAACAGGCAATCGTGATTTTACCACTTGGCCAGAGTCAGTTCGTGTACCTAGGTTTACATGGTCATATCAGTTGGTCACCACACTCTGAGGTTTAAACGTACGATCAATCACATTTTTAGCTCTATCATTAGTTTTTTCGCTTACTAATAGTTTCACAAACACCTGATTGTTGACTCATGGATGTTGATATATCAGCATTTAACGCAAAGTGCCAGCAGTGTCGAACAGTCAATCTGAAATTAAGTTTTTAGTCATGACGGAATGAAATTTTTTCAGATATTTTAAGGCAACGAACTAAAACGATACACTTTCTTCCTTCCCACGTTTTTTGTGAACAGTCGGGGTTCTCTGCATATTCCGTCTGACTTATCTTATGTAACCAAATTCCTAGGTCATTCAGGGTTTGCTCATGCACTGAAGGTGATAACAATAGTGACGAATTTCTCTTCGGTTAGCAGTTGGCCGGTTCTCATTGAGAAAAAAAGGTGTGTCAGAATTTTCATGAGTGATACAATCAGGATATAGATTTTACGGGCTGTTAAACATCTTAGGGATAGACTCTCCCCTCCCACGTGGCCTTCGTAAG